CACAAATACTATCATAACCAACTCATAATAGCTATATATAGAGTGTTTCCCTGCCTGACATCCAAGCTGCTAAGCACGTACGCCTACCGGCTTGACCTCCATTGACCTCAAGGAGGAACGCTCCCCGGAACCAACCAACGAACTTCGGGGTTGGCTAGACAGATCATTTATATTAATAGTTGGATGTCGATCCCTTCATGCTTTTAAATTTCATTCAAACAAGCATAGACAATGTATCCAGAGCGTTGGAAAAGGTTGTTAGCCATGTATACTGCATATTAACCCATTACGCGGTCGGTTGAGGTCGGTTAAGGTCGGTTGAGGTATTTAGGCAGACCCGTGTATTTGTGTGTGTGTGTCTTTAAGTGTCTTTGCTTTCGTGTGCGTGCGCATGTGCAATCATTCTTGCAAGCGTTTGTGCTTTGTGTACGTGTGAGTATGTGTGTGTGAACATGTACATCCGTGTGTCTGTGTGTGTGTGTGTGTGTGTGTGTGTGTGTGTGTGTGTGTGTGTGTGTGTGAGTGTGTGTGTGTATGCATGTGTGAAAATTGTTCCAAGTTTGATACAATATAACATTACTACAATATCACCATGCAAACATTATCATCGCATTTGGCATCTACACCTGCCTAATAGTGTGTACCTGTAATCTTGTAGACCTCATTTCCCCAAGCCCCGCCTTCGCCGTCCGCTGCGCAGGTTGTAGTAGGTCCGTACCTGTTGTAAGTGTTGATGCCATTAGCAGACCCGAAACACTGTCCGCCATGCTGTACACCAAACACGGTGAAGTCACGAGACAGTGCTGCCAGGTAACACTTCTGGATGGCGTGATGACGGCTCTGGTAGTCACCATCCAAGAGTGAATTCGTCCCCTCTAGATACGCCATGGCGCGGGTATGAGAGTCCCTCCAACAACCCAGGCTGGTGTACTGAAGGACTGTGTGGAGGCATACAGGTGTCAAAACATAAGCAAAATATGGAACTATTGGGTACGTTGGTAACCACAAGTTCCAGAGCCCCATGACGGAAAAGGAGCTTGCCTATGTAAGGTTTCTCATTAATGTTGTCTTTCAGATGAGAATTGTCGTTTATTTATCTGATATTGTTTAGTTTTTTGCTATCTTTTTTTACCCTCCATGTAAATGGGGGGTATTGTTTTTACTCCGTTTCATGTTTGGTCTGATATCTGAAGATCGGTGAGAAGGAACTGTATGATATTTGGCAGATTGATGGATGGGGCCTTGGAGATTGTTTAGGTTGACTTTGAGCCCCTGGTGATTGACCTTGGTACTGCATTTTAATTTTTTTATTCTATTGTTGTCGCGTTATGGACTGTTTGTGCGATATTAAGGTAGCAGGTTGTTGTTATTACCATGGTTTAGTGGTTTAAATTTGAGTCCCCTAGCTGTTTGCGTTTGATATTTACAAAATGTTTAACGTTGGACTTTTTGTGTTGAATGTTTGGAAAATCTGGTGGATGGTTGGGTATGATATTTGGTATGCGGGTAGTTGTTGAGTCTCTTTGTGTTT